ATCAGTAACAGTGGTAGAGCATCCGTGAACCAATCATCGATTAACTCGCACAAAGATGAAATCAAATACCTTAACATAATTCGTGTGTTGAAATAACTGCTCACACAAAACCCCTGTATATCAAATACAATATCATAATAACTCACAACACACACCCAGCAAATCTAGTCAGAAAGTACAAGCCCAATACAGATGGACTATTTCATACATTATTAGAATTTACACCGCTTACAATGCCTTATGATGCACGTGGTGAAAATACCAAGAAAATGCTACTTTCATGCATTATGCTAACGAAATAAATTATTCGTCACATACCTCGAAAACTGTTAAATAAACTCCATCAATGCTGTAATCATTAGGAAAAAAACTGAAAACTGTGTAATCAAAGAGTTTTTGTCGCAAAGGATTGATGATATTCTGTTTTTCGAATGGTATACATATTATCTTCAACTGACTTCTAAGTTTTATTGTTTCTTTCTTGTTGCTTCACTTGAAAATTGTGTAATGAAACACTTCATTTGTTTTTCTGATTAGAGAATTCTTCATCAAACAATATATAAATATATTCTATATTTTTTCTTGTAAGTGTTGTATTGTGTTATGGCATTAATATAGGTATTGCATAAATTCTGTAAAAGTACTTCTATACGCTCTCTCTATATGCCCTGTAAAATGAGGGCTCAAGGCTTCTCAAGTGAATAAATTCACTTTTTCTCGAGCCCTCGTGTTCCACAAAACATAAACTTGTGGACGAAATAGATTGATTTCATTTTATCGGAACAGTTACTTTTCACATAGACCCTCACGTGTGCCAGATTGATAAGCTCGCATATTGCATAGGCCTGCGCAGATAAGTTTTCTTGTATTCTTTATTTTATGCCTCCGTGCGCTCTTTCTGTTGATAGTAGGCATTTATGGTGTCCTGACTCTTTTTTTGTGTGCCGTGTTTGGTGCACGCCCTGTCTTTTTAGAATGACAGCTCTCAAACTTATTTGTTTGCTCGGTAACTTCGTCAACCTGACCAGAGAGATTATCAGAGTCTACAGTTTTCTGGACTAAGAATACTGTCCACCTGCAAAGCTTCTCCCCTACTCCTTAAAGTGTTTTTTTTTCCTCTTTCTTTCCCCAAATAGTTCACAGAGAGCTGCAGATATGTGCACAAATGGCTAAACATTATTATGCTACCACTCTAGATATTTATTGCACATGCATAAATCCATCTCACGAACAGGTATAAGTGGTCACTACCAAAGAGATCGAAGGGCAGCCTTCTTATATCATGCTCAGTAAGATGCACTGTCCAGCCACTTTGGATAAAACTTCAACATATATGTAATGCGCTCCTAGGTGTGCCCACACAACTTTCATGCAGCGAGTCTTTGCAAAATTGTAATGTCGCATAACAAGCAGGTGATTTTATGGTGTACTAATCTTTTTTATTTATAGCAAAGAATCCCTGGCCAAAAATATGTAGTATTTGAGATAACTTTTCTTATGTATTACGTTGTCGTTCATAAGTGTTCATTACACAAATAGTCATTGTCAGGCATGCCAGTTGTTTTTTCATTTGTTGCATAGGAGTTGCTAACCAAATGCCTCTTACTTGCGTTAACATACATACATCGACCAGCCTAGTTGATGTATCAACACGCACTTCAGATAGCATCGAAATTTATTGAAAGAAGCCGTCTCATCACACCTTGAATGGCCAGTTATGCACACGTTATTTCATCTTCGAAAGCACCGTAAATATGCAGTCACCCTAACCAGACCTTGCGTGAAATATCGGAGGCATAGCATAAAGAACATCATATTTTGTATAAGTCAAACTTCTTTATCATTACAAGCGAGAAACTTTATAACTTGATTGTGAACAGGCACGCACCTTTGTTCTTTGCTTTTTTGTGTCTCTTTGTGACATGCGTGATGTACCCTCCTTTATACATTCATGTTTTTAAACAAGTGCAATAACCTTTTTGTTCTGAGTGAGCATTTGCAGCGTGTATGTTTATTTCCTTTCCCTATTTCTTTTTTTTTCCACCCGTAAGTTTTATTCTAACCTGTAGTTAGTGTCAAGGAACATTAATTGTTAAGTGCATATCATTTGTTATGTATATATGGTGCAAATGACACGCACGTGTTCTAGTGAATGTTCCTTATTTTAGGAAATTCTGGTTATTTTCAGAGCAATTTTAAATACCAAAACCGTTTACAGCTTACTCGCCAACAGTGTTGATGGACATCGCTCCCTAATACATCTGTGAATTATGGGACCACTCCTGAACCTTTTAGACGACCAAGTTGTGCATTTTTAATTTTTCTTCTTTTTTTCATTTCTGCCAAAGGTGTACTGGCGCTAAAATATAACAATAAAAGAGATGATTCTAAGCCACCCATCTATAGTTGAAGAGCGTGACAGGTAGAAATTGTAGACAGGTCATTGCAGCTAAACACACAGAAGGTAGTGAGTGAATCACGCAGTCCTTGCCAAGTTCGCTTGATCTGAGAAGCGTTGGAATGAGGCAAACGGAAACTCAAAGTGTGTGTTCGCACTTGATCTCAAAGGAACCGAAAGGGGCAAAACTCACCGGACATTCACTCGTTTCGCTCCCTAAGTGGCCAGAAAACCACGCCGCGCGGCCGGAACGAAAATTCGGTCTGATATCGACTTTTCCGCCACGCGCAACCTGATCCGACTTCTGCTTCACAGCTTTGGCTGCGCTAGATCAAACCACGTGACTTAACCTGACCTAACCAGCTGGCCGCAGATTTATCATGGCGGCAAATGCGTCAGCGGTGGCGCGCATCGGCTCAAATCGCGAACTATACCTGTGTAACATCACGAAGGTTGACGGATTCAACGTGGACGCATTCATCGAGAGCCTGGTTTTGAGTATAACCGCCGAGAACTCTGTAATTAGGCGGTGAACATCTTTCACGTGCGGTCGGGGTTTTCCGGTTGCTCTAACGTTTTCATTTTGTCTTTACTTCTCAACGCGCCCGAAGTGTGAGGCCCATGCGCTCATCATGGCGGCTACATAGACACTTCTCCCACGAGCACTTGCGCGCCCATTGGCGGGGCTTGTACGTGGGCTTGGAAAACTTCTATTCGGCTGAATTACATACAACTACAGATGCTAGGACTTAAAGATGACCTGCATCTATCGATGTACTTCTTATAACGCATGCTTTTTACAAATGAAGGACAGGTTGACCTCTTGTGTAATAATTAAACACAAAATAAATCATGCGATGCTGAATAAACCCTGTTTGTTGCAAATAATACAGTTAGTTAGTCAGCAATTAGGATCTAGTTATGTGTTTCTTCTCACTATCCTCTTTCATAAGCGTTGCGATTTTGAAGAACTATGTGCCGACCGTCTCAAAATAAAGCCTTACTGTTTGAAAAGCACATGAGTAGTGTGTAAAAAAAGAGGCATGCTTCATATCAGTGACATTTTAATAAAACAAAGTATTATTTTTAAGTTAGTTCCTTGCACACCTATACAATAAGAAGCAGGAGATTCCACATAAAACTCATCTGAGCATCGCACCTGCAAGCATACAATCAACATGCAACGTTGTAAATGCAAAGGGTAAAAGAAGGTGCTACAAATCATATACATCAGATCCTTACTTTCAAGAAGGAAACATGTGGTGTACAGATTAACAAAAACCGTGATGCATTTTAAGAATTACGAATAACAATGCATCAGACACACTATTTTGACAAAAAGCTAACAAGGCAAAAAGTATGATATACGTAAAGCTTAATATGTGGAACTAAAGAAGTGCAGCACTATACACAAAAAATACAAGGTGCAGTCATTGCTGCCCACATTAAAAAACACTATTATTAGAGAACAGTTGTTCAGCATTAGCAAATGTCTGCCAGCTGCTATTGACGTAACCGTAGCTAGGCATGTAAAGTTGTGTGGAAATGTGTGAAAAAAATTCCATCTAGACTTTCCATTCATAACATGTATATATACAGTACTACCCACTCATAACGATTACTCAAGTGCCATAAAATATTATTATTATAACCGATAATTGCTATAAACGGGCTAATTGGAAAAGAAAAGCCCAATAGTTGGATAAAAGGCTGTCGTGGAAAAACTATGTTATCGCCGATTTTTCAAACATGCTTTAAAAGTCAGACGTTTTCATCGGGCTGCTACAAGCTCCATAGAGCCAATGTATGATAACCTCGTAGGGTTCGGACACCAAAACTTTTCAAAATTTCCCGCACCATAGCAGATTTCAAAAGTTAGCTTTACCGCAGTACCAAAACAGTATGCAGTGAAGCATATTGTAACTCTCATGAGGTGCTTGAAAATGTTGGAGTTGCGAGGGGGTGGGTTAAGCAGCTTGAATTTCTCGTTGAGGTAAGGTGATAGCCAATACTACTCAACATAAACTTTTTGTGTATGTCTGTGCTCACGTTTTGTAACGGTATCTATGACTGATTTGCTTGGCCGTTATTGTGTCATCACGGTGATCCTTATCTTGAGTTGCTCAGCATCGTGCCAGTCACAAATACATATATACCTTTTCGAATATCAGTGCAGCGGCCAAATTCACATCTCGTTCATATTTGCTCTTTGAAACCGGCGGGTTTCATCAATGATGGCCCAGAAATAGGATTGGTTGAAGTAAGAACTCTTTAGGCGTTAGAAAGTTCCGTGAATACGACATACAGATGAAAAGAACTCCGAAAACTAGTTATGACCAGGCATGCCTGTCAGTAGAGTGAGGCGAGCATGCAACTCCACTACAAGCAGACAGTCAATGATCATCTTTCGTGGGTGCAACACAACAAGGTCCGCAATGTACTGCAGTGGGGAAGAAGCGAAGATTCACAAAGCAGCCTAGGAGCGGAGTTTCTTACGTAAGAACGTCCGCTTTTAGTACTCCTTCCTGAGAAATCAGCGTAGGCTGCGGCATTTCTAAACTATTCCCAGCTAATGTGTCTGTTCATGTGAAAAATGTCGTACTTTTTCTGAATGATTCGCAGAAACTTGGCCTCTCGATGATGTTGAGAACAATCTCGAGCAACGTTCCAAGGAGAAGGACGGTCCCCAAGAGGCCGAACATGCATCTGAAAAGGAGGAAAACGAGATGATGCGACTGAATATAAGAGAAATAGCAATAATGTTCGCACAGTGAAAGAATGTCAAGGGCAACGTTCTATTTCAATTCAGGCGGCACCATAAAGGCAACATTCCACGTCACCCGGCTCTTTCTCTAGACCGTACGTCTTGCTGCTTCGAGCGTAGAATATGGCGCGCTTATTGATGTTTTAGATTCAGTAACAGAAATGTAACGACTAAGCCACTGTAGCTCTGAAGGTTTACTGTCTGGGGATTCCCCGTAAAATGCAGCTGGAAAAGCTGCGTGAAAGCTTTTATTAGCCTCTTCAATGATGACAGCTCAATGCTTCCATTCTCCCCCCTCGCTTTCACATTTTTTTTTGACAGAAATAGCACTGATTTTATTTAGCACTGCGCATATGCAACATCCACAACTTCGTGATTCTTTTCACTGAGTTGTGCTTGGGCAGCCGTGATCAACACTTATGAACCTGTTTACAGAACAGGTTCTATAAATGTTGGCTGTGGTTGCGCACCGATGAACGGCAAATGTCATATCCATGTTGCGCGAAACATTGCAAGGTACACTCTCCTCATCTGATGAGCTACTTCAACAATATTATTTAGCGAAAGAAGCTACTACAGGGTTTTCACTCGTATACACGTTTCGAAAAAGGGCTTCGACAAATTTTGCAGCAAGTTTAGGCGGCAATAAAATTTAGATACAGATCACGTGTTCAATTCTCGATGATATTACAAGTCATGCTTTTTTAAACCAGCGCTAGGGAGTTGGGGAACTCGAAAAGAAGAAAAGCGAACGATGACGAAGATGACGATGACGACGACAACAACAACAACAACAACAACAACAACAACAACAACAACAACAACAACAACAACAACAACAACAATAACAGCAACAACAACAATAACAAGAACAAGAGACGCTCATAAACAAGATAATAGAGAATATCTGTTGGGTGGTGCACTTACATGGCTACCAACTGTTCCTCCGTGAGAGTGATGATGCCCTTTGTTTCGCACTCTGCGACGCTGACGCCAAGCTTGAGGTTGGCCACCGCTGCTCGTTTCCATGAAAAACACAGCAACAAAAATGAACAAGAAAGCGCAATGGGCACTCCAGCTTCATCCAGAGCTGATGACACTTTTCCAACGAGCCTGTTCTCTGTGCGGATCTTATGGGAGAATGCACAATCAGAGAACGTGAAACGAAGCTGTTCTTGAGATCAAATAAAGGTCGGCCACCATTGTTGTAGGGTAGGTTCGCATATTAAATTACCGGTTGTTTGGCTGCGAAAGTGTACGGTGAAGAATAACAGTGCCGCTGCTATATTTATCATACACGAACTTTGGCATTGCAATAGAAGCCGTTTTGTGCACGCTGATGTCAGTTTATGTGACAACAACCAGTAAATGGCAACCTTAATTGTTTGTCTGGGTGATAACGCATTTTTTTGAATGTTACAGTATTCTAGCAATGATTGGTGAAACGAAGTCAGCATAAAAACACAGCCTGTAGGATGCCAACCCTTTTCTTCCAAAGTCACATTATTGCACGAATTGTTTGACATCATCGTGTGATACTATTAGTAGTATGCAGCATTTGCGCATCTGACACAATCAAGGCGATGATATGAACGTCACTTTAGTTATACTCGTATTTCTTCAAGTGCAAGTTCACCATCTATTTCTTCAAGTTCACCATCTCTCTCGAGAGAGAGCTGGTTCTACTAAAGTGCACCTTTGTTCAATACGAAAACTGCAGCTATACTTCAAGATCACACTATATTAACTCAACAAATTACCGAAAAATTACTTTTCAGCATGTGTCTGCCCAGGCATGCATCCATCAAACAATCTCTTTCAGGTGGATATATATGAGTTTTGGCAATAATTTGTGCAGCTGTGCGCATTTGTTGACTATCACGACTGTTTTTTTTTCTGCTTAAACGTGCATGGGAAGGCCAATCCGCAGCCTTACTATATAATGAAGAGCAACCCTGTAAGAACATCTTAGGTTCCCCCAGGGGCATCCTTATAGCCAAGAAAAAGGTAAAACATTGGCCCCGTATCTGAATGTTAGACTGCAAATGTCGTCGAAAGACGATAGTGTTGCGTCTAGAGAAAGTGAACAAAACGTCTATTTGATGTTCTGCGCAAAAAAAAAAAAAAAAAATCGGTGAATAGTATTCTGGAGGCGCTGCGTTAGAGTGCTTCGAGCGTGCAACGGAGGTGAACGAGCGCATCAAGTCACTTCACACGTGAAACATGAGCGTTATCTGACTTTATCCTTGAAAATGAAGCGCGCGGCGTACGCGCCCGTATCTGAGGTGATAAGGTGTAGAACGCAAGGCGACGAGTAGGTGCCACCACTATGTCGTCTTAGTAAAGCGTTAGAAACACTTGCCTTTTTGAGCAAGCGATGCATGGTCAGCGCAGCGTAATGAACCCTACGGTCCTTAGAATTACTTATGTATGCTTTTTCCAGTAAAAAAGTACATATACGTACTATTCACGTGTTGTTATAGTGCCTCTGATATGCCCAATATTTGCTTTTTAATTGACAATCGCACAAGTATGAGCGCTCAACCTTGAGCAATATTGGTGGGCGCTGCGGATGGAGTCGGCCGTTTGGGGTATCGTTTGGCCACTTTGGTGCCTTTTGGGGTACCGTTAAGAGCGGACAAATAGACAAATGTACAGACAGACAAACAGACTAAATTTTTGGCGTCGAAGGTCCCCAGGAAAGAACACCGTCTTTAAAAAAAACAAAGACCCTGAAAGCTGGCCTTGAGGAAACTGGACTCCCGGCAGGTTTATGGCTTTGCCGCGCTTTTGGACTACCAACTATACGCTGGAATCGCAGTGTGGAGCAGTAATTAGCTTTGCATTCGCATTAGAACAAATGAGGTATTATGTATAGTTATCAGATATGTAACGGAATATAGCGACACTGATCTCTCTTTATATCGCCTTTTCTTTTAAAGCTTTCCTGTAACTCAGCCATTTGACAGGAACGCACTCAACTTGCAGCTTTGAGACGAAATAAACTATGCTTGATATAATTCATAGTTCCACCTAGTAAGATGTAAAGGGGCTATTGTACATTATATATGAGAAATGTGTGACAGTGTCTGCCAATGAACCGCTGATATCCTGCCAACACAGAAATACATTTCATATATCTACGTCTATCAATTACATCTAATCAACATCACTATAATGTGCCATCCTTACTGTATAGAGAACCTACGTATTATTAACACTGTGAGCTCTTCCATCTTAGACAAAAACTAGACATCGCAAATGATGTCGCATATACGTTTACACAACATCAAATGCATCGCAGAACTTTCTGTTTTCTAAAACCGCTTTAGTTGACTTTTAAAACGATCAATATATTCGGGCACATAAAATCTAGAAAGTGCTAGAAAATAAATGGACATGTTCGAGCATGCGTAATGCATACACTTACACGGGCGAGGAGATAATGCGAGCGAACGAGCATAAAGTGAAAATGCATGGAATTAGTGCTGCCGTACATGATAGTGCGAGATCATACGCCTGAAGGTGCTTTTGAGCGTGAAGCACTTTAGGGGCCTGGGCTGTCGTCGCTTGGCGTAACGCAAGGAAAACCACATAAAAAATTGAAAAGAGGAAGCAAAAAAGAAATCAAAGGAGATGGAAAAGGAACAAATGGGAAGAAAACTAGAAAGGGCTAGAGAAATAGATAATATAGAGAAGAAATAATACAGAAAAACTGAAGAACAAAACAGAGAGGAGGAAAGGAAGTTCAAGAGAAACAAAGCAGACTTCCCAGCCCCGCACTTCCTCCAGGCTTGCTGCATGTATAGCTTTGTGTGCTAGAGATCCGACTGCAGTCTGGCTTTTAGCTGTTGTGCTACTTATGGAAAGCATCAACACCGTGAGGCTAGCCTTAACTTTGTCTTCTGACAGAAATCCACTCGGCTGCTGACCCGCAGGTTGCAGGATCTGATCCCGGCTGCGGCAGATGCATCTTCGGTGGAGGCAGAAATGCTGTAGGCCCGTGTGCTCAAATTTTGGTGCACGTTAAAGAACCCCAGGTGGTCGAAATTACCGGAGCCCTTCACTACGGCGTCTCTCATTATCATGTATTTTTGGGACATTAAACCCCACATATCAATCCAGCGAGCCTTTAGAAAGCATCAAAATGCTTTGTAAAAAAACACAGCCGAGTGGAAATGAGCAAGACTACCATGGGACCGCAGGTCTAACACATAAGCTACATGCTGTGTGCGAAGTGCATGAAAAAAGCTTTAATTTACTAAATAACATTGCCTATGTATACCGTATTCACTCGCATAATCGGCGCACTCGCATAATAGGCACACCCCTGGTTTGGTCGTAGAAAATTCGTTTTTTTTACTTCCACGCATAATAGGCGCACACCGAACTTGGCCATGATCAGAAACAATTGTAGCCCCAGCGGTACAGTTGGAACGTGGTCCCCGTACCCTGAAGAAAAAAAGAAGGCAAATCGATGAGCAAATAATAAATATCGAAGTGCAACGACCTAACAAACGTGTTTGTCGAAATAAAGCTTGAAAAAAAAAAGGAGTCCATGAGCGAAAAAAAACGGCTGTTCCATCAATTACTGTTGCCTCCAAATCGCCGCGCTATTTGGAGGTCACGTGTACAACACCGGGGGATCGATTGCCATCGCCATCACCACCGTCAGATAAAATGAACGAAACACCATTTTACAAGCGATATGAGTATGTTGTGGTCATGTATTCGACTTTGGTTCCACCATGGGGAGTCCGCAAGCTACATTGCTGAATTTCAATTGAAGGCAGTGCAGTACGCGCTAGAGCATGGCAACTGGGCTGCAAGCAAGCATTTCGGGGTAAGAGAAACAAGTATTTGGTATTCGAGGGATCAACAAAAAATTGAGGTGACAAAGAAGACACGACGGGCTTTTCGCAGTGTCAAGACCGGCAAGTACCTGAACGTCAAAGAGCAACTGGTCCGGTATATATGGGAGCTACGACAAGACGGCTGTGCTGTGTCATTGGATATTGTGCTGACTAAGGCGCACAGAAGAGCCCAAGCGCCGCGCATTGAAGCAAACGAGTTCAAAGCCAGCTCCGGATGAACAATTCGTTTCACGCGACACCATGGCCTCACACAGCGAAGGCGGACCACCTTGTGCCAGCGCTTGCCCACAGCATATGAGGACAAAGTGGTGTACTTCAACCGTTTCGTTATAAAGCTCCGACAGAAGAATGATTTCATTTTGTCCCAGACCGGCAACGCTGATCAGACCCCCCCCCCCCCCCCCTTTGCTTTGATATGCCGTGGAACACGACAGTGGAGGAGAAAGGTGCAAGGAACGTCATCGTCAGAACGTCTGGCGCTGATAAACAACGATGCACCGTAATGCTGGTGATGACAGCGGATGGGCGCGAGCTACCACCTTACGTAATTTTTGAACGTAAGACGCTCCCAAAGGCAAATTTCTCTCAAAGCATCTAGGTCAGAGTCCAGGAAAAAGGCTGGATGAGCGCAGAACTCATGGTGGATTGGGTGAAAACAGTCTGGGGTCGGCGGCGGGGTGGTCTGTTGTTGCCGTCTATGCCTGCCGTCCATACCAAGTACACCGCGTACGAAATGAGCTAAAGGAGCTGCGCACAGATCTGGCTGTGATTCTGGGTGGCCTCACATAAGCGTCACGTGTCCTTCAATAAGCGTTTCAAGGACAATGTTCGAAGGCTGTACACCACCTGAATGGCTGGAGAACATCAGCTGACTCCAGGTGGTAAGATTAAGAGGCCGCCTGTGGAAATGCTGTGAGCTTGGATTGTGGAAGCGTGGCAGGCGATATCCGACGAAGTCGTCAGGAAAAGTTTCAAGAAGACAGGTATCTCGAACGCACTGAATGCGAGTGAGGATGACATGTTGTGGGGTGCGGACGATTCGGACACCGAAAATGAATCCCCGCTCGGCGAGGATGAATGTGTGCTCTCCGGCTCAGACTCTAAATAGGGAAAAGGAGGAACACGTACGACTTTTGTGTAAATAAATTTTACTTGTGTGCGTGTGTGTGTGTGTGCAGTTCACGGCTCTCGCTTGTTCATCAAAAGGTACATAGGTATGTTTGTTTTATGCTCAAATAATTGGTAAACGATAAAGTCGTCTTTTACTTGACAAATGTGCAGCTATAAAGCGTGAGAACCGAGTAAAAAATATTGTAACATTTTTCTCCACGTAATAGGCGCACCCCTAACTTCGAGCCAAATTTTCTGAAAGAAACGTGCGCCTATTATGCGAGTAAATACGGTATCTATTCAATGTCCATTTAGTATCCATGTGCAACGCACCTGCAACTTTACTTGGTCAAGCTTATTATAGTTGCGGGTACATCTAATCTTCGTAATTTGGATTTCTATAGATATCTAAGACATTTACAATGTCAACGAGAGACATACCATGGATGTCTACACAATATTTGTGGTTCACTGTGCTATAGAGACGCAACTATAAGCCATCGTACGGTAGCCAGTAATGATAAATCTTGAAGAGAACATTAGTTGCAGCCGAACAGGTGTCGATACACTTTGTTGCCTGAACCATTATTATGGAATATTAACGCTCCAACAAGACATTGTCTAATCAGCTCTTCATGCCAACGCCTATAATGGAAGAATTCATGAAACGTACGTACAAACAGAGGCTCCTTCATATTTGAGTAACCGAAGAAAGTATTACCGCTTTCAGAATAACGACTCATGTATCGAATATTTCAAGAGTGCTTGCCCTCGGAAACAGTCGTGTTTCGTAAAAAAAAGCTTTCAATCAGTTTCAGTTGATGTTGTGCCTATTTAGATAAAAGCATAGTTTGGGGTCGGTGGTAGGACACCACTCGTGGACGCCTCGTGCATGTGTTAACTAAGCAAGTGTGCAAACGTGTCATCGTAATTGTGTTAATGACAACTAACACAAATCTGTAATTATGCGTAACTTCTGTCGGGTTAACTTCGCTACATTGGTGCTATTTACTTTGAAAGCTCGAGGTTTAGAGTTTGCCCGTTACGCTGAAAGCATTCTTGTATCGAAGAAGTATGACGCATGCGCAGTCTTGCACAAAACCAACATGTGGTTACACTTCTGACTTTCCCAGTAACATTAGCGTTTATAATTACTTGCACGGTATACGATCTACCGTTCTTTATACCTTCGTTAGCAAACGGCAAATACAAACTTATTAAATATGCTGTTGTCTTGCTTGCTTCGTAAGGCCCCTTTGTTGATTCATTTGATTGATTTGTCAGGTTTAACGTCCCAAAACCACCATATGATTATGAGAGACGCCGTAGTGGAGGACTCCGGAAATTTAGACTACCTGGGGTTCTTTAACGTGCACCCAAATCTGAGCACAAAGGCCTACAACATTTCCGCCTCCATCGGACATGTAAGGCCCCTTTGTTAACGTATTCTACTGTAAATCGTCCATGACAGACATGGCATGCTATTGTGTGCATGACGTATCAGAGTTGGCGAGTGCCTGTTCAAGAGAGGTCATTACTGAAGAGTGCGCGACAGCGCCGAAACCTACCTGGATTAAGCATTTTGAAGACGTCGTCCTTGCTGCACGTAGATGGGACGCAGATGCCCACGCGTACTGCGATGGATGTCTGCAACCTGGTGTACGTAAGCAGCACGTCTTTGTAGACCTGCGTTAGATTACGGAGGCACGAATCAAGACTCGTAAGTGATAGGAACAGTAACCTTCATGCTAACAAGAACCATGGATACCATCTAGATGCGTACAAATCGCATGCCAAACCATTCACATGCCAGATAATCACGATGCGCTTTATCACGAGGACACGATGCTTTCTTTTATCATGCACCCCGAGAGCATGCTCGGTTTCGGGCCTACTTTTGTGTTATTCCGCAAGAAAGAGCGATTGTCTTGCTCTGTCGCAGTTTGTCCCTCGGAACTCATGTGCTCGTCTTCGTATGAATTCAAACAAAGAAACGGTTGCGAGCACCGAATAGCATGCCTGTCACTGGTATCGGATTCTAAATGCATCAAATTGTTCAAGTAAATCAGGCTGTATACGCATTTATTGCTTGAAGTTTTAACTGCACTGGTTTTACCCGCTCCGTCTTGTGGGACACCCTTCTCCTTTATATGGGCGACGCGGTGCTATTGAGATAATAATAATACATCTCAGATTTTACGTGCCAAAACCATGTTATGTCTATGAGAGACGCCGTAGTGGAGTGTTGCGGAAATTTTACCACCTGGTGTTCTTTAACGTACGCTGACATCGCACAGTACAAGAATCTCTACCATTTTGCCTCCATCGAAATGCGACCGCTGGGGTCGAGATGGAACCCGCGAACCTCAGGTCAGCCCAGTATTTTCGCCCCGTTTAACCGAGCGGACAGGACTATGCCATGCATCTCGCCCTAATAGCAAATGACGAGACAGTGGGGAGACCTGAACTATCGATTACTATAGAATTTTAGCTTTATTTGTACAGGGACGGAACCGTTTTTCTGCGTGATTCGTTAAAAAGTCGAGGGGCTTAATAATCAAAATTAGCGACCAGAATGAGTATATACGACTGCCTCGGAAAAGAAGTAAACTTGCAACGAAGTTGTTTCACGGACAGAAAGTCCGAAATACAGCTTTACTGGGCGCAGTTTTCACGGAAAGCCCCCATTTATCTTTAATGTGGGTGTTTATAATCAAAATTAATGCAGAACTATGTGCCCTCAGTGCATATACTGCAAGCATTTTAGGCGGAGGGAGTGTTTTATAAGGTGTGTCGTTTTTTTTTTCAATGATACAGATTACAAAAATAAAAACGCTATGACAAGTTGAAGCACCGAGCTTCGACAATAGCGGACCAGAGTTCTAATTCTACCGTCAAAACGTTGCTAGCATGTACGTTTTTGTTAATTGTCAGTACACATACGCACTGCGCTGACGTCACTGTGGTGTGTGTTGGTTAGGTCACTCTATAAGCTGGATAGTTATCCCATCTAGAGCGCGTCGTCCGAGCTAAGAAAAATGTTATTTGCATTTAAATATTTCTGCTCGGATTGCTGCGGGTGACCATACCAGTTTCTTGCTCATCAGCGAGCGCGCTGCAGAAATATGGCGCCACTCCACAAGCCTCTTAAAAGGTAAGACGCCATGAACCTCTCTGAACTCAAACGGGTGCCTACCCGAATTTCTTACAACTACACAAAATTTTTTCAACTTTGCATAGGTGCGATTTTCGTCACCGACCTTATACCACATCTCATGGTGTTGCAGTAAAATGGCAACTAACCTTAACTCTTTAATGACTGAATTGTAAAACTGCTGAAAAAAGGTGTTTTAATTTTCTAGGTTTAATTAGCAACCTTTATATGATTTCATAGTTAAACGATCTAAAATGCATTTTAAAGCCTACTTATATGTGTGTCACGAATTTTCCACATGCAATAAAAGCGAGGACCTTGCAATGAAAAACGTATGTCAGAACTATGCACCATGTCCTGTGCTATGTCTAGAGTTTATGCACACAAAATAAACAAAATTATTGTAGATAGAACTTGCGCAATCCAAGCGAGAAAGAACGAAAAAGTGAGCAGTCTTCCATGCGCTTCGCGCTCTCCGTCATCAGCTAGAAAACGATTGGTTCCAGCATAAAATGCATTTTACAAGTTAGCACAAAATGTTTTATGCTGAAAGCTACATTCTCCCGTGGGTGCTTCACAGCCGCAATGAAAGGCGGCACGCATTTCGTGACTTGCTTGCTTGAAGAATTTCGGTATGTCACGAATTTGCGACATTAGACACTGAAGGGTTCATTGCATACAGCACAAGTAGAGAATAGAAAACTATGTGGAACAATGGGAGGCACTCCTCACTAGCTCGGAATCGGCCAGTGGTGCAACTAGCACTTCTGCACCACATCTTGCTGGCGGTACACGCCAGTAGACATGGGGCCCCAATCATCTGTCTCCTAAATTCATACCTTCAATAAAAGTTATTCTGCTTCAGGATCGATTGGAATGTCCTCTTAAGAACAATGAACCATATAGCGTAAAAGCTTTTACAACAAATGCTAGTGCAAGATCACAACAACAACTGATTTCGGTGGCGTAGTTTTCCACTACCGCCGCTGACGCCGTCTGTAATAGCTAGCGTACACAACGAGAAAACAATACCACAGCCACGCCGTGCTTGAAAATACTTCGCAAGTCTATTGTGGTGGAGCAGTGGTTATGACACTCGGCTGCTGACTTGAAGTTCGCGGGTTCAATCTCGGCCACGGCGGCCGCATTTTGATTGAGGCGAAATACTATAGAGGCCTGTGTACTGTGCGATGCTAGTGGTCGTTAAATAACGCCAGATGGTCTGAATTGCTGAAGCCATCCACTACGGCGTCTCTCATAATCATGTCGTAGTTTTGTAATGTAAAACTCCCGAGCAATATTATTAGAAAGCTATTACTTACTTACTTCACAAAAATACCCCATACAGGCGCCATGTCCGGTGACGAATCGCGTTATTCACGCGATTGAATCGCAATGATAGATGCATGCACGCAAGTAGAGTGAAATAGCACAGCTTGCGTAACGAGCACGCGGTTTCACCTTTCAAGCCATTACAAAGAGCTCAGTAATAATACTTCGTAGTTATCACGCAGCATCAACTAGAGCGAGAGTGAGATAGAAACGAGAAAAAGAAAGGCAAGGAGGTTAAGCAGATGCTAGGATATGGTATGCTGCCCTGTACTGGAGTTGGCAAAGAGGGGGCTTGAAAAAAAGATAGAGATAACAAAATGAATAGGAACAAAAAAAACGCAGACTTGCACGCACACGAAAAATCAATTCACTCAGAATAGCTCACACCAGCCAGTAGTTCGCAAAAAGCACTGTAGCGCTTGCACGGCCTTGTGTGATGATGAGTCTAGTCGATGGCGCAATATACTTTCCTTTGACCACGGCTGGTAATCTAACTTGTTGAGTGTACTAGAGAAATATTGTCTCTGTATTTTATGTTCCTGACAGTCGCACAGGACGTGTCGAATTGTTTCTTCATCTCCGCAGTGTACGTAGGAGGCAGTGTCGGCCATCCCTATGCGGTACACGCACGCACGGGTAAACGGGACGCCCAACCATAGTATACGCAAAATAGTATATTAGAGCCACGTCGTCGGTGTCTTGTTGGAAACCGTAAGCTTAACGTAGGATCAAGGGCGCGTAATCTTGCATGCGTAAAAAGAGGTTAATTTAAATGTGACGTCAAGCATTGGCAGGCAAGCATGCGGAGCTTCATAGCAGCATCAGTCCTAGAGAAGGGTATGGACCGGCCGTGGTCCTTTGTATGGGCTGAACACGTGCCGCTTGATCGGCCCGTTAATTACTGATTCCACAGTGTCTTCGCAACCACTGAAATATAATGTGGTGCCCTTTCAATGCTATGTGGTGTAGCATTTCTGCCGTCTCAAAAACCAACTGTTCGTGCTGCAGGCAATGGCATAGACTTGACAGAAGTGACTGCAGTGCTGCCTGCTATCGCAGAAGATTGTCCATTATTGCGTGATTTGGTCGTTAATGAAACACAGCGCAGTGCGAAGCGCTGGAAGCTTTGCTGCCGTTGATGTTGATACATGTGCCGTCCTGAGTTATATGGTTGTGGCGTGCGTTGGAACAACGACGGCCGCTGTTGAGCTCTTTGGCAGGACAAAGCCGTCGGTTTAGAAGTGGGTACAGCCTTCGGTACTTCTCGTCCAGTAGAAGTAAGGCGAACTGCTAAAGGGCTGGTATTTACAAATATTTTTTTTTCTGGATGTATGGTATTGTCAGGTGGATGACTGGTTGTTTGAAGCACCATGAAGGAATTGAAGGTCTCGCTGTGGGCGTAAAGCCAATTGGTAGGGAGTCTCCATATGCAGTTCTTATTCTACAAAAGGAAGTATCAGGCCAGTCCACCGCCGGTACAGAGGCTAGGCGGTGGCGGGGAGTCCGGGCAGCATGCCTTATGTGTGTCCTCAGAGCTTCAATTTCCATATGGGTCTTGAAAGGAAGTATCAGGCCAGTCCACCGCCGGTACAGAGGCTAGGCGGTGGCGGGGAGTCCGGGCAACATGCCTTATGTGTGTCCTCAGAGCTTCAATTTCCATATGGGTCTGCAAGAGGTGGTCTTTGGCAAAGGCTCTAATCGCCACTGTTGAGGAGCCCTGAGGCCGGCCTAGACAGATGCGGAGTGCCTGTGCCTCAACACTTTGTATCATGCGCCGACTTGTTTTGCTTGCTTAGATAATGCGGGCAAACTGTATCGTATATAGCCAAGAAACAGTTGTAGAAAGCCTGTACAGTCGTAGTATAGTACTGGGCTGCATTCCCTAAGTCTTTCCGGCGAAAAACTTGAAGAACATCAACTAAGATCACATAATGCTTTACGAGGTCGTGCATGGGCACCTCGCTTCTCCGTAGAATGGTAAATAATGGCACAGTGGGTACTACCGTACTTCGCAATGTGTTATGGCGTGTAGGTATTCTGCAAATAAACTCCCAAAGAGTCATATTTGCAAGATAGTTTACAAGAAGCTCTAGCGAGGTAGCTCCTCCTGCAGTCTTGACTGCGACAGTTCCGCGCAGGGTCGAAGTTTTTAGGGGCAAAGCTCCTAAAGTCGTGGGTCTGAACATGCTTGTCTCTCTTG